GTGTGTTGTTTGGTGGGTACACGACTGTTTTGAGTTGGAAGATTTAGGTGGTTTCTGGTCTTATTGGGAATTTGTAACATTCCATTAATATTTTCTTTATTTGGAAATCTCTCCTATCTTTGTACGTATCGCGGTTTTTTCCTTCAAAATGAAAGCTGAAATTAAGAAATTGAAATGAACGAGAAGTTTATAATCCGGAACATTTTTAATTATCTAAATTATCGTAGGAAGACGCGAAAAGGAATTCTAAGAAACTTCCTCGTGATGATACGGTCGAAACTCTCGCGTAATGAAAATCAACTTAGGCGAGGAAATGACCGACAGTTCATTTACAAAACGTTGAAAAAAATATATACGAAGGTACATGAAACAACAGAGCGCGAAAAACAATTGTGCAGAATCGATCGTTTGATCATTTTCGTTGTGCATTGAGAATTCGCGACGGCTGTTACGCGAACGCGAGTAGAATTTTGTTGCGCGGCCTTGTTTGCAGAAGCGGTCCGGGCCAACAAAGCAGGCCACGCAATTAAGTTAAATAAGATTAATGCACGACGTGATGCTACAACTTCAATGGCGAGACGTGTTTCCGCCGGTCCGGCGTAAATTCGTACGATCGTTGGCGGAACACGAGCCGACGCGAGATTAATTGCATCGAAAATGCAGAAAGGGTTGCGCGCAAAAGGGAACAAGGCTGCTCTCTGTTCCGGCTTCTTGCTCGACCGCTGGTACGCGCTCGCTGCACGTATCAATTTCGCGGATTATATCGCCGTTTTGACCAATCTGTCGCGTTTTTATTGCTCAAAGGAAATTTCGACATTGAGTCTTGTTGCTCGGGTGAAAAATTCCAGCGGCAGCCTATATTCTCATTTCAGAAAAATTCAATTACGCTTGTGTGAATGTGTGCTGCGTGTTGCACAAAGTTGCATAGAATAAAAAAAGAAAAACAAACAAATTCTATCAAGCGATTATGTTATCATAATAACATCTCGTGACAAAAATTCCAGAGACAGCCTATATTCTCATTTCAGAAATATTCAATTACGCTTGTGTGAATGTGTGCTGCGTGTTGCACAAAGTTGCATAGAATAAAAAAAGAAAAACAAACAAATTCTATCAAGCGATTATGTTATCATAATAACATCTAGTGACAAAAATTCCAGCGACAGCCTATATTCTCATTTCAGAAAATATTCAATTACGCTTGTGTGAATGTGTGCTGCGTGTTGCACAAAGTTGCATAGAATAAAAAAAGAAAAACAAACAAATTCTATCAAGCGATTATGTTATCATAATAACGTCTCGTGACAACGTGTGTACATGTACTTCTTTAGAACAAAATCCTCAAGGCAATGAAGAAAGCAAAGCAATGTACCCAGCTGCCAAATGTCCAGCTACGTTCCGGCTCCCGTCAACACTTTTAACGAGCCTCAACCCTATTTTCTAACCCTCGGTGAACGTTAAACGATCGGGAGGTGGAACACGCGCGACGGTTCCCTCGCGTTCAACGAACCGACGACGACTGGCAGCTGCAGGATTCTCAAGGACCTTCTCTGCCTTCTTTTTTCAGCGACTCGAGCCCTCCTTGACCTCGTGCCTCCCGTTTTCTTCCTCGCCAGGGCATTACCATAAGCGGCAACCGATTTCCAAGCAGCCGAAAGAAATAAACGGCCACCTACCAACGAAACTCACGGAACATGAGAATACATGCGAATTCCTTCTTCCCCTTGACTTCCAAGAAACAATCAAGAGTCGGTCAAAACACATCTACTGCAATACGTAATTTCGCAGATTCGAACGATTCTCGGCAAAATGAAGAATAAATGAAGACAGAAAGGAGTTCGTGTTTTTTTCTTCCATCCTACTCTAAATTTCTCCACATTCCTTGCCTTCCATTCTGATCATTTATCCGATACGAAGGTTGCAGTTTGCTTTGGCCTTACTTTTCGTCCTAGCGTTAAAGGCGATACACAGGAGTGATACGGCGCTGGTAATTGCGATAGGATCGCCCGATTAAGACGTTAATTATCGAAAGATTGACCGGCCGTTCGTTTTATCCCGTTCGCGTGGAAGAGGTGGGTTAATTAACTCGTGCCACGACCAAAGTAGCCGGGGTATTGCGCCTGGTAAAAACCGTCCAAGGATTAATCATGACCCGGTAAGACGAGCTGTTCACCTGCGAGCGTCGCTGAAACCTCGCAAACGACTCACGGAACTCGCTTAAATCGCGGGGGTAGTGCACTTCTTTGCATGCCAGAAGACTGGCAAAGCCAGTCGCCGGCCTGATTTCTACCATCGCTAATGAAAGAGAATCTCTAATGCGGTCGATTGCCACGTTGATCGCCCGCGTGCATCCCGATTACATTTTCTACGCCCGCTCGATCTTTCACGTTCTCACTTCCGCATAATCCAGCGATGAATATCGTAATCTTTTTTTGAAGCTTGCGCGAGAGTTCGATAACTCTTGTTCGAGATATATCGGTCGTCTTCGAATGTAGATTTGAATAAATCTAGGTCCGAGTATATAGCAAAGTTTCCATAGAACTGCAAATTGGAAAAATTTTATAGACAGTGATTCAAACACAGTGAATTTACTATCAACATTATGTAATCACGCTACTGTAATTTTTTCAAGCTTATATAGAATTCGAAAGTAGATTTTAGTCGCTAAAATATGAACGTCTTGGAATGTAGATTATTCAAGTCCAAATCTACAGCAGATACTGACTAAAAAACACGAAAAATCATTCGAAAATTTTTGTAGCCGAGTTAAGTCAAATGTAGCATATTGGAACATGAACTCACTGTTGGTATTACGCAATCTCACTATCTGCGATTACGAATTTGCATAGAATCGACTAATCACGCGCTCTTAGATTTGTCTGTCACAGCACAATGACCGATGCCTTCCGGATTCCAAACGGTGCGCAACAACGGAATGATCGAATGTATCATTGTATTATAGTTGAATCGACTGTATCGTACAGCTGAGCAATAATTCAGATAAATGAACATCTACCGCAACTTGTGCATTTCCAACAACTGTCTGAAACCTAACCTCGAAATAAGCCTCGACCACTGTTTGCTTGGAAAAATATTCATTTCCATTGCGTCATTCCTATTAGCGTTTACGAGGCGATCGATTAAGAGCTCGAAGCCTGAAATATAGGGCGGTTTAATGTTTTGACGGTAGTTTGGACGTCGTCGTGGCGAACGAGCGTATCGGCTAATCGGTATTAATGAGATAATAATGTCGGGCTGCAATCGTACGTGCAATTGAACGAGCCTCGATAATCCAATTGGACTTTACACCAATTGGACGTTTCCCATGGAAGCGTGGCCGATCGTTTAATCGACGCCACCGTGTATACATCGTCGTGGTTTTGTTTCCACGACCGGACGCCTGAATTCATGGCGCGATAGTAATCTACTGGCTGCTGGTTAATTGCTTAATTAGGTCAGCCGGGCAAAAACTAAGAATCGGATCGTCAACCATTCTCTGGGAACGTACAAATTGTGTCAGGCGAAATATCGTCTCGCGTGCTTCGTTTTATCGAAATTCCACGCGTAATCTCGACAAACGAAAAACAAGAGTATACGACCCAACGGTCGGTGGCTCTTGATACATTGAAAACAACTCCATAATGAAAACTATGCTACATTTCCTTCTTTTATTTTCCTCGATCGTTTGTCTAAGCTTCCAACAGCCTAGTTTTGCCACAAAGCGTAGCAGAACGCGCTAAATTTTAATATGCAACAGGTTAAGCGTTCATTTTTCCGAAAATCCGCGCACGTGCGAATTTGATCCACTCTGTTGGTTTCCAGGTAACGAGATCCCATATAAATCCAGTAATTCCTCATCAAGCTCAGCTGACCTAGAATCAAACATCACCCAGCCACGAGAATACAATGCCACTATAGTGAAGGGGTTGCTCTACCCCATCCCGATTTCTCGATTGAGTTCAATCGGATGTGCAAGCCCGAGCGCCGATAGTCTCTCCCGAACAATGATGTGCATTTAATTGTACGCCTCTAGGAACACGCACATCACGCCTGAATGCACGTACACGGATAGAATTACACACATTTGCACGAGAAACTGAAAAACGAAGAATTAATAGTGCGAATTAGCGGTATCTGATATGAAATTCGAACGTCTGTCACATTTTGAATTTACAACTCGCGACCGAATGAAATATATTATTAGGAGAAGAGTGCACGGATCCCAAATTCCATGAATTTCGAAATACGACGCAGTGCAATGCGCGAAAGTGCTAACTCAACCCTTGGCGCGCGTATATGAGAGAATCCAGTCCGTTGATACGTCCCGGGAGAGTTTCAGAAGATATTCGACGTTCCTGTGCCAGTGTCCTATCGCTACTCCCGAGATTTACACTCGAGAAGAATATATATATATATATATATATATATCGAGATTTCGTCGATCCCCGTATAGTGAAGGTAAAACTCCACCTCGGCCAGCAAAGAATTTTAGTACTTCGAGCACCATCACAAAGTTTCACGCTCTTGTAAAAATCTTCTGCAATCTCGAAATACGTATATTTTATATTTAACATATATTTTAATTTCAAATCGAAAACACAGGAAAGAAGCTGGACAATCAGTCGAAGAATCTAAATGAAATTCGAGCAGTTGGGAAAGAATTTTCTAATTCTAGAGGAACTCTGCGTAGCTTCCTGCATTAACGGGAACTTGAAGGGATCAGGAATTTGCCAGGTATTTGGAAGAACATTTTGAAACGAAAGGAGAAGAAGCCTGATAAGCTGTTCGAAGATTTTCGTTCAGGCTCACGGCATTTCACTGGCTGTTTCGAGGCGAATCAAACTGACCGTCGCGTCATACGGCTTCTCTCGTTCACCGGGTTACATCGGCATTTTCTGAATCGTCGACCCTGGTCACGTCCATTCATGCCTCAAATTCGATGGCCTTTGAAACGGTTTGACGGACGAGAGGAAATCGATAACAGGATCAGAGCTACTTACCGCGACTTGTTGACTGTTGGTGGGACTAGGGCTCGGACTGGGCGTTGAATTCGGGGTTGAAATTTCGCCTGACGTGGGAGATACCGAGCCTGTGGTAACGGGGCCAACTGTTGGAAACGCTCGTGCCGGATCCGCTTGCCATTGCTTATGGATTTGCTGCGAGGTATCCCGGAATCTAGCTCCCTACGGATCAAAACGTATCGAATCGTTCAAATTTAACGTAACGTTTAAATATATACGAAACATACACGTAGAAACGAAATAGAAAATAGAGAAGTCTGTAAATAAATAAAATTAAAACACTAAATATATTTTATATCGATCAATATTTAATTAATATCAATACGTTTAATATTGAATATATCGAGTGTACTGGATGTACACATGAAAAATTAAGTGTATTACGCATTGAATATATTTTCAATGCTATAATGAATTAAAATTTATTGAATCTCGCCTACGTACGTTAATTCGTCAGTCAGATTACCTTTCGATTGAACTGAGGAATTCAATTTCGGTTTCAATAAATTAATTTCAAATAAATTGAGAAATTGATTTACGAAATTCAAATTCAACGTAGATGCGTACTATATTTTGCTTCAGCCGTGGCAGAATACACGGTAGCCATTAGGCTTACCGTAAGGGCTTAAAAGTGTCATTAAGAATGACGAGTGGCAAACACGCAAATCCTCGAGGAATCAGACCGAGGAATCGTTTACGCACACCTTTGTCCGCGGTAAATCGTACGATGACACACTTCGATCAGTCGCGGATACTTGCTTTATCTTCCTCTCTTCCCGTTATCATCCTCTTCCTTTTTTTTTTCACCAGCATATCCTTTTCTTCCTTTTAATTTATGCAGTCGTAACCGAATAGAGGAGACCACCTATGCTGAATGAATCATCTTAACAAAAGGAATCTTTAAATAAGCGAAAACGGCACATCGCGATGCTTGAAGCTTCAAAGACGTTTAAAGTAGCCGGATGAGTGGACTTTCATGATTTATACGTCAGTTTCGACAAATATGAAGATTTCTAATTTCCTGAAACTTAATGATAAACAATTGACTCTATTCACTTTGCTTTTCAACAATATTTTCTTCTTCTAGAAAAAAATACTACTTTGGAAGTTTATGTTTTATGGCAAATTATGTTTTAAGGCAAAGCCTTTGAGTAGTAAAATTTCGAACCTAATTACACGCTTGTTGGACATACCACGGAATTTCGTTCGCTCGCACGAGAGAGTTAAAGCGATGTTGATGAGAATAAATTAAAATCAAATGAAATAGAGGCAAAATAGTTTTTCCAACTATGTTCGCGGTAACGTGAATTTGCATAGATATCTCCAACACGCTGATAATCATGTTTCAATCTCCACGAAAGTCTACGTTAATTCTATCCAAGCCCTACACGTTTTAGATAACTGTGAAAAAAAAGGAGTCTCAAACAACTTATTTCAACAGATTTGATACATCTATCGTTAAGGAAACACGCAGGTAACACATTTTACAGCTTGCACGGAAGTTTGAAGATTTTAACTAGCAAAGATCGCGTGTGACGGTGCAGTATGACCAAAAAGAGTCTCACCACGATAATTGTAGCTACGCAATAACTTGCCATAATACCGATTAGCATAGGAGTATAATGGCATGCATAAATGGACGTGTACGACGCTGCTTGGTGTACTAAAAAAAGAAAAAAAGGACTAAAAAGACAAGCGCTCGTTCCTTTCTCGAAGGAGGTTGTGAACTGGGATATTTTTCCGTGGCTAGAGTCGAAGGATCGAAAGCGACGAGAAGAAATCCCTTGGTGCCTCGAAATTAATTCCACGACGAATGAGGATAATTCAAACGGGCCGCGGCGCTGCGTTTACCCTTAAAATTACGAGCACAATGCGCGCAATTTCTTCCATCGCGCGGTGGTTAATTGCGCGTGGAATTGCACTCGACGAAAGAAAGAATCGCAGCCGTTGTTGTGCTTCTCCGCCGGCTTAAACACACACCATACGATTCAATCTTCTCTAAAATTCTTTCTGTCCTTTCCCACCTTTCTTTCCCTTTCTTCCTTTCTTCCATTTTCGTTCTTCTCCTTTTCTGAACAAAGGTGACTCGAAACACGCGAGGTTTTGGCAAAGAGAAATAAATGTTTGTGTTTTTCTCTCTTTTTTTTTTTTTATTCAGAATAAACATGTCTTTTCATCGAACTGCCACGCGTGCGTTTTATTAATTAATCCGTTTAAAAATCTAATCTTTACGCTTGTTTTTCACGAGTTCGTTCTGCCAGACTCTCTCGTGCCGCGAACGATCAATCTTCCGTCGCAGTTGTGAAAATGAGCACGATCTCCAAACAGAGATAAATTCCACCGTTTGAACCACGTTTCGCGCGTAGAAACGACGTCGTAAATCTCTCTGCGGATGAAATTTCGAAAGATTCCAAGTTCAAGCATCGAGATTTTCCTCCGATTAAACAGATCGGAGAATTTGTTCTCCAATTTTCTGGCTCGATCGCACGAACCAGAGCATAAAGTTGATTGTTCCGCGATTAATGTGTCTCGGGTAAGATTATTTTCCCGTGCGAGAGTTTTAATTCATTTGTGAATCAGAAATGAAAATGTTTTAATTCGCGGCTCTTTCGGGGAGGGAAGCAAGCGTTCTTCTCGCCATAATTCTTCCAACTCTATCCATTTATTACAAAATTCGTTCTCTCTTGTTACCCCAATTAATCTCGTTTATTTTACGATTAAATTTAACTCTCGAATTAGAAAGAAACTGCAATCCTCCGAACACACTTCCGTGCATGATAGCACCTACGAGGTATTAAATAAAAAAAAAAAAAAACCTGTTTCAAAAGTACGTTTGCGTTGACTTAACACCTTTGCTACGTGTAACTCGACAACGACTCGCATGCAACGAGGCGCATTTATCTTCCTCCGAGATATTGTTCGAGCGCGAACAAACGTAGGGATTAGAGAGTAACGAGTGGCCGTGATCGAACGCCCTGGTCTCCGCAAACGAACCTCTGCAACGTCGAGTGATCCAGCACGATCGAGATCGACGGATATACGTTCGCGGACTGTCCGGTATCGATCCCGTGGATCGTCGGGGGTTGCTTACCGGAATATACCGGTACATCGCGTTTACACCGGCCACGATTGCCTACCGTGTAAATAAAGGCGTGGTTTTAATTAAGCGACAAGGAAGTAACACAACCGACGGTACAACACGTAACAATTACGTAACGACGAAATATAATCACGTAAGAGGGTACGTCTTAGACCATGTTGGATTGTGATCCAACCTTTCAGATCTTCTGGGCCTCAATTGGCCAACAAAAATTTGTCGAGGGCCGATAAATATTTTTTTTTTTTCTTTTTTTATGAGTTCAACGTAACCTACATTCCTTACGAGGATATTAAAACAACTTTTATAGTGAAACGATAGGGATGAAGACTAGCCTCAAATTTAGGGATGCGAAACATATTTTTGTTGTCAAATATCTCGGAAATTATTAAAGATACAATTTTTGTGTAAATTGAGCAAATTAATGTTTCTTAATGCAACAAACCTTCTGTTTAAACAATACATTTAAAAAACTATATTTTTTTATACGTTTTTCCAAGTAAAATGTTGATAAATTTTCTTGAATATTTGTCTATGAAAACTATACATTCGAACACAAGCTCTGCGATGCATGGTGCATCACCGTAGATAATCGTCGACGAACAAAACGAATGATAATTAAGGTACTCCGACAGATTACGGTTTCCCCATTCGAGAGTATATTCCAACTATTCCGCGATACAGAAAATGTTTATCTTAATTGCATAGATTAATAGAGTGCAGCGAGAAAGAGGGCGCCGGTTCCAAGAAAGCTCCTCCCGGCTGGTCCGACGAAAGTTATCGCAACTTACAAAGTAGTGTCGTTACGGTTCGTTGATAACGTTAAGATCGCGCCAAGTTAAATTAGAGCGAGTTGAGATAGATGCGCGCGATAGTTGCTGACAGATAAACGCGACGTGCCCAAGCGTGGACTGTGAGCCTCGTTTTCAAGTCGAATCCCCGATATACGGACAGAACGCATGTACCAATCATTTTCCAAAGATTGTCGAATAGCTTGTCGCGCTGCTTCGCGAGTTTCGAATAATTCACGAATTTCGTTAATTTCAATCCAAAGTCCGTCTCGCTCGTTCAAACAACAAAACACATCGGTAGAACAGAGTCCAACTGCAGAGTCATCGACGCAAAAGTGCACTACCAACTGCATGTTAAACCAATTCTATCCTCATTGCATACAGCACGTAACCACTTGTGCGCTCGACTCGAATATAAAGTTGCGCGTATGTACGTACGCGGCACTCGGCGTAGCTCGGCGCGCAATTACGTTCAAACGTTAACAGATTCGACGAAGTTCACGCCGGTGAAAAAAAAAAAAAAAAAAAAATTAATCGTCTCTACGATCCAGGCTGTCGCGTGGACTGCGTTTAAGCAACAGCCAGCGCAGAGATCGTCCGTGTGATGGAACGACGCAGAAAAGACCAGTCGGGAAGCTTCTCGTTCAGCTGCACAAAGCGTCAACACACGCGCGGTTCAATCAATTTCCCTGTTGCCCGTAAGCCACTCCAGCGTGTTTCTCCGCGCACGCACGCACGTGTTTGCGTAGTTGCGCTGCGCGAACAGGAATTACGTGATAGATAACGGTTGATCGCGCAGCGTGATCCCAATGGTCAGATATCGACGTTGATAGAGGAAAACACGCGAGGGCCAGATGGAAGAAAATACGAAACGATCTTTCGAACGGGGCCAACGTTTGACGCGATCGCCCCCGCACCATACGTTCCATTCAGTTTCTCTAATTAATTTCAGAGAAATCAGAAATCGGCGTGTAGTCGATACGTCACCGGAGTTTTCGTTTCGTTCCACATTGTATCTCGATGGTTATTAATTGCGGTCAGATTGAAAAGGAATAGAAAAAGAGAGAGGTGCCGAAGATATGGAGTCAATTAGCCGGTATGTCGCGCTTCGGAAAAGGCAGATACAAGATCCCGATAGGGAAATACGAGCTTATCGAAGTCCACGTGGAACTTGACAGCAACGCGAGGCGAGGCGAGGCGAGGCGTTCCGTCGGAACGGAATATAATTACGGAACGTTTAAACCGAGATTGATTAATGATCGTGGCCGATCTCTAGCGCGCGATCGAGCTGGTCTCTCTGGCGCGGGGAAAAACACCCGAGGTAGAAATTATCTATCTACGACGCGCTTCAGCCTAGTTCCGGTTGAAACATCAATTTGCATTCTCTCGATGACGTGCGCGCTGGCCGCCACGTGACTTAATGGCCGGCCGCAAAAACAGCGTGACCTCAAGAGTGTGATATAGCGGCGTGCTATTCAGGTTTATGGTTCGCGGTTACTCTTTCCCAGCTGGCTGCAAATCTTTTCATTACACGCCGGCCAATTTTCTCTGTCTTCGTAGATAAGGCTAGAAAACTGTTTCAACTGTGCAACCCGCAGCTACAATAGTTCCGAGGGAATTGTGTCTAAAACAAACCGTGATCGACTAGCGCGGAAGCCGTTTTCTCAACAATACCTCGCTAAAGAGATCTTCCAGCTCCTTTCGTGACAGCTTCGCCTTCATCCCGCGAGCATTCTTCTTCAAAACGTCAAACTTGCCCAGAAGTCGACCGGATTACGTACTCGGCCCGCGGCGAGTCTTGAATCGAGTTCTTTATAAGCCTCTCGCCGTTCGTTCTCCTTCTCTCCTCCTCTTCTTTTTCTCTTCGTGTCGCTGTCCTCCCCTCTCGTTTCTTTCAGACTACGCAAACACGTCGACAACGCGACGAAAGGTCGCGAGCGAACGACAAAGGTGTCGCACGATCCGGCCGCGGTTTCGGTCGCATACGACCGACATACTCGGGTCGAGCGGTCTCGCGCCACTGGCTCTCCCTTCTCTCCTCGATCCCGGCGATACTGGCTTGGCAATTAACGAAACGCCGCATCGACGATGCGGGACGCGTCACGGCGCGGATTCTGCAAAACGAAATCGACGGATATGACCAATCGTCGCCGAGCGATGAAATGAAACGAATGCGAACGCGTGGAATTATAACGAACGTCCTTGACGGACGTCAGGGGGGAGAGTGGGGCGACTCGCCGAGGCACCGTTGCATCGCGACTTCTCTCGCTCCTCTCGTCCGCGATTCCACGCCCTAAATTCGCGTGACTTGGCGCAGATAGGCCAGCAGGTCCTTTCCGAAAGCGATATCGATTCGCCGCGCGTCCTCTTTCGCCGCGAAAACCGCCGCTTTTACCCGTCCCGATGAAAATACTCTGACGAAGCACGAACTAGTCGAGTGGCTGGTACGAGCAGTACGTACGAGTAGTTTGGTGATCTGCAGATTTTACGTCGACGCGACGGGATTGCTGGGACTCGAGATGAGGATCGGCGATCGATGCGGGGAAAAAAGTGAAATTTTCGGAGAATGTCAGACGCGAGGAATGGATGAATTTTGGCGTCCAGATGTTTAGAAATTTCCACGACGAGATCGAGGAGATGAAGGGAAAAGAATACGGGAATTTCTCATGAATGCCTATATTCGTAATGTGTAATTAAATTCCTATTGTATACCGGCAGAGGGGGAAGGGGATATTTGAATGCCTTCGAATGCGACGAATTACAAAGGGCGAGGATGAAACGATAATCTCTCGATTATGCGCGTAACCCTATTGCCGTGGAAGAACGACGTGTTCGGGAATTCGACAAGAGTTTAATTAAACTGGATCAAGCCCACGCCGAGGAATTTCAAGCGTTCGATTCGATTCGATTCGATCTGCCATTTGGAGACCCCGTCAGCCTTCGAGCTCACAGCTGGTCTCCCAACGCCCACGCGAAATTACAAGCCTCTGCTTTTCTCTCTCTCTCTCTCTCTCTCTCTATCTCTCCCCCCGTCCTTTTTTACTTCGTTCGACCGGTAACTTCCGTCCGTGGCATCTCGTGTTTCACGCTGGTACTGGATTTCGATCGGCCAGTCATTGATACCGAGGGAGAAGGAGGGGGGCGTGTAATAAAACGTGTACGGTTTCCCAACGACATCGGAGAAATCGGTGCGATCCCCGAGTTCTCACGAGCTCGAGCCAACCGATTCTCCGGTTTGCAGATTCTTATCCGGTCCGCTTAGCACATATTTTCCGCGATTAATTCGTTAATCCGTCTCGTAAATTCAACGATCTGCTCGCACCGAACACGAATGAGCAAACGATCGAACGAAGCAGCGTCGCGCGTTGCTACGAGAACGAAGGAAAGAAATCTGTCCCGGGAATCCGTGGAATTTCTGATCAGCCGGCGCGCTTCAAGGGAGAACTTCCAGCCGTGGCCAGACGATGTTGCTCCGCCAACATCCGGCGCCGTCTCTAGCTTGCACGGAGGAGCTGTTTCATTTTGCAGTTTCGTAGTTTCAATGTTTTTGTTTCGTTCAGATCGGTAGATCGTTTGGCGGTATTTCTATTTGTCACAGCACACTGTTCGAAGGAAACGTTTGAAGTGAACATTTTACGTTACTTCGATACTGGAAACGAGAGACTTTTTTTTGAAAATTCACTATTTTCTCTAGAGTTGATTACGATTTCTGGTAAATTTTATAGTTAATCTTCGTTTACAAACTCAACTGAAATTCTCGTTTCTCGACTTCGGACTGGTTTGAAGAAAACTTCGATCATGATTCGAATTACGTTTCTCAATTTTCCCCAAACGATCAAGATAAAATACGTTTCCAAAGAAGAAAGGAAAATCGCTATCTACCAATCACGTGATCGTTAGACTGTCAAATACCTCGATGGGCTCCAAATGTCTCGTATCGGACGTTTTGCTCGCGAAATCACTTCGAGTTTCACATCCCGAAACATCGACAAAAAGAAAAAGAGGAAAAAAAGAAAAAATCAGCGTTGCAAGTGTGAATGGCTCATGTCCAACGACGAGAACTCTCGATCGGTCTTTCGATCGGTCGTCTTTTAACGGGCGGCGTGTACACGTGAGACGCGCAGGAGGATCCATGTGAGAACGAAGCCGGACATAGCTCGAGGGAGGATAAACGACCTCTCGCTCGGCCAAGATCGAGATTGCACCGGCGGGTTGAAAAGCTCGCGAGATCTCGTGTACGGTTCTAATTTAACCGTTGGACGCCGTTTGTTCTCGGTGACAACGGCTTTGTCCCGTCTCTGCAAGAAATTCAGGTTACCCGGGTCGACGCGCGGTCTCCTCTTCTCTCTCTCTCTCTTTTTTGCTCTCTTCCTCTCTCTCTTCTCTCTCTCTCTCTCTCTCTCTCTCTCTCTTTCTCCGAGAGTCAGCAAGCAAGCCGATCGGTCGGCTTCGTTCCGCGATACTACGCTGGCTTCACCTGCGCGCGCGCGCCTTGCGTGCCGTAACCCGTTTCTCACGACGTTATCGCGCCGCACCGCGGGCACCCACGTTTCCCGCGATAAAACAATATCGCCGAAGTCGTTTTTAACGAGGCAACACAGCGGCACAACTTTTATTCCGCTGTCGTCGATTCGTTGCGAAATCGACGCGGGCCCCGCCGCGCCGCCGCGAGGAACAATCGCGCACTGTTTCGTAACATGCGCGCCGCGAGCATCTGCACGCGTCGTGCGGTGAATAAACATTTAAAACCGGTGGAAGGTGCATGTGCAGCACGGTACGCTGGCTGCCGCTGAAAGGAGAATCAAACGTTTCCTCGACGAACGAGCCTCCGCCTTCGTGAAACGCGCGTATCTGCTTCAGCCATTTTTAACGCTGCGATTGGCAATTTCGACGAAGAGATCGGAAACTATCGTGCAAACGAGTGCGATATGAGATCTCTAAAATTTTCTAGAAATTTTCCAAGAACGTCGTCTGACGTATGCGCGTGCACAGCTTCGCGAAAGTTTGCAGAAACTTGTGGAAACTTGTGTGTTTCAGATATGTTGCATGTGGCACGATTATCGCGATCACGTTTGACGTAGAGTTTGAAACAACCTGGAACACGTATACGGTAGTTGCGAGATGCACTTCTCAGAAATCGCATAATCGTTCAAACGATCCGCCTATCTCGATCAGTCTTGAAAGTTTTTAACGTCAATGGTAGACGAAAATGTGTTAGATTCGATTTCGCTCTTCGATTCGATTTAGAATCTGCAAATCGTCGACTATTATACTTGATTCGATACTTTTTTATAGGCTGCTCCTTAATGCCATGTGTATGAAATCAGCGATCAACATCGAGCGAACGAGTCGTTCGGTGTTCTTCTGTTGCGAAGCGCGAACGATCGAAGCAACGTTTAATCTCCCAACGAGTCTCCGACAGAAAAGCTCGATCACGCTGAATTCACGATCGAGACCGCGAGGATTGCAAATTAGTCAGGCAGATTGCGACAGCGTACTTTAGCCCGCGAGAAGTGACTAAGCCGATCTCGAATCGAGTCGGCAAGCGAATCCACGCCACTTTCGACAACGTGTATCTTATCGAAAATTCGAATCTTTCCTTGACAATGGTCGATCAGGAGAGGAAGAAGAGAGAAGAAACAAAGCGCGACTTTGCTTCGTCGGAGTGACTCATCGCTGAACTCCCGATACCGAACGACAAGACGATCGGCGGGACGTTTTAGCCTGAGCGGCCGCGAAAAAACACGCGAAATCTCGAGCGAGGTTTCTCACTTGGACGGAACCGCGCGGACTACGTGCTCTCGCATGTACCCGCGTACCACGACTGGCGAGTACTCGCGGAGAGAACTCGTGGCGCGCCACGATCCGCTTCGCCAGAGCACACGCTCTCTCGCACGAGCACGACGATGTTCCTTGTAAATATTTATTCATCGCTCCGGGAGATAGATCCGTACCAAACGATCTCGTACGTACAGATATCGCAGAGCCTCGCGGAGAAGTTCGCAGCCACCTTTAGTCCTCGCAACGCTCGGACGGAGTCCGAGGATAATAAAATCGAGTCGCTTTTTATTTACGAGAGGGATGCTTGGCGATCGACTAACGACGCAGCTGATTCAGAGGTCGACCGATGGATCGATTTAATCGAATTGAAAGCTCCTCCGGAATATGTGTTCGATTCGAACCGTCATCACGCTCCCCCTCTCTCTCTCTCTCTCTATCGGCGGTGTCTCTTTTCAAGCACCGTAATTCGATTACCGCGAAAGCTCGTGAAAGCAAACGAGCCTCCCGTGTTTCGAACAAGCGTAATTCGATTCGAAACGAAGGAGGAGGCGGAGGGTACTTTTTTTCCTATCGACAGCGAGAGAGGATTAACAGTTCACAAGTACTGCGTCAACAGTCACTCGCGTGACGTAACGAGTCGATGTCGCATCGAAGAAAACCACGAGCACGACACGTCGGAGATTTTCGAAGGGGAACGACGAGTCGACAAAGTGGCCACACATACACACACACATACACATACACGCGGTTATGTGGAACTGGCAATTTTCCGGTGCCACGGAAATGCCCGCAGCCTCGAGACAACCTCTCACGCGACGAACGTGCGCTTGCACGTATGCGCGTACCGCAACTGGCCGACCGTGCGGCGATCGCGCGGAACAAGAAGCTAGACCGTGTGTCGCATGTGCCCGTTCCCCTGGTACACGGCGGCGGCCCTCCTCGCTCCAACGACCTCTTTGTCGTGGATCAGTTCGTCGTGAATGCAGATCGCGCGGCTGTGTATCTCCTCCTCGTCGTGTTCCTCGCGAGGGAATCAGAAATTGAACCAGGGCTCCGTGACCGGTGAGGCGGCTGAACCCGTTCTCCGACTGGCGACTTCGCCGCTGGCTCCGCCGTTTTTTTTCACGAGGAAACGATCGATCGTTATAAAGGACAGTTTTTGCGAGAGAATTTTGCTTTCCTTCCACTGCTCTATCGGATCGCGGCCAGTGTTGTTGCCAATTTTTCACCCTCGCTGCGAACTCTAAAATATAAAGTACGGTCTCTGAGTCTCGGTTTCCAGATGCTCGTTTCTCGTCTCGTCAGATTTCGATGGAAATTAACGTTGGTACGAACTGGTGTTAAAACTTTGTAATTTCGGAATATCTCGAAATTTAGTAGATTTACAACGACGCACTATGAGATTCGTGTAATTTTTCTCAACACTTAGCTATCGACTGTAGTCAAGTCTGTTGCGTGCTCCCTACCGGCTTATAATTAGTGGAATGAACACACGTAGGTCGCTAGTACCGGCCCCCTCTTAGACAGTCGTTAGTCGTGCGACAACGTACGTACATACTTATTTCTAAATCTTTACAGGCTTAAATAATTAAAAAATTTATTCATAAAATTGAAATTTACACTTTCAAATTCTTTTAACATTTGATAGCGCGTGAAACAGCCACCCGTGTGTAATGGAACACTAGTTTAATTTCCAGAAATTTGATTGTTCTGATTATTTGGTAAAGTGTCAAAATTCTCAACTCGCGCAATCGTGTCGACTTTTTAACGTGTTCGTTGTTCTATAAAGGATAAATATTCGACGTGGAAGACCGTCCCCCGGATTCTAACCGTCGAGGACCGCTGCCGAGTTCCTCTTTATCGTCACAAGTTATCGCGGCAATTCCCGCAAATATTGTCACTCGGTGCGTTCACGAGGAGGAAGAGAGGCTGGATCGTTGGAACGTCGTCGAGAGGCTTGAGAGTGGGGACCGGACTATAAACTGCAGCAGGAGTTCCTGCAGTCGCGGCGATGCGGACCGAACGCCCGCTGTGCTTGCGTAACCAATCGGACCTTGTGCTTGGCGGCAAGAATTATGAACTTGCAGACGAGAAATTGGTTCGGCTCTCGGCTCGAGTTCGTCCCCCGTGCATGAATATTTCACTCGTACGCTCTGTCCTCGATATGTCCAGTTTCTTTCGCCGTCTATCTTCTTCTCCTTGGAAATACAATTTATAGGTTGCCTCAACCACTGTCGATCGAACGACTATGAATTAATTTTAATTTTTTCGTTCCAAGCAGTCTGCGTCACGAAACGAACTAACAAAAGAACTTTACATATGTTGCACTCTGAACTCTGGTATTTCGTTGTAATCGGTTGGCAGGAAAAATTGATTTGCTTCAAACGTTACTTAGACATTCGTGGGCGATGGAGAAATATTTCTGGAGTACCTTTTCCATTCCACACACACACACACACACACACACACACACACACACACACAGTTTCGCTTCAAATATTCAAAGAGACTGACTCATTTATGAGTTGATCGAACGGCTTGTTCAAATATTCAAAATATTTTCGCCGTTTGCCTTCAAAAGTTCACATTTCTAGAGATCTAACGGCGAACTTGTTGAAATCTGAAAGCCATTTGACCGAAATTCATCAGCGCGTGGGGTTCGATTTCTGCAGATCGAGCAATTTCAAACTGCACCGCGTTCCGCTTTGAATCGGCTGTCACTGTGGATTGATGTAACAACCGGTTCTTGGATAACTCGCCGCGCTGCCAATGAAAGAGAACGTAATGCGTTATTAGCGTCTTGGCGGACGCTTTAACAATCGGCCTTCGGAGAAACGGAAATTACGATAACACCAATAACCGAGTAATCAGGATCAGGCGGAGTTTACCAGGGATCGTTCGAGTGCGCGTATGCACGTGCGAATATTAAACGATGTTGTTTCATCGTGGCAAGCCATCTCTTATCGGTGCTTTTAACCATTTTTCATCCTTTCGTAGCGTATAAAACGTAACGTGCAGATAACCACGTCGAAGTAACGCTGCGCCAAGATTCGCGTATAATATCGTCAAAACTCGCGTAATGTGGTCAACTTCATTTGCAGTAACCAGAAAATTCTGTAAAGCTCTTATAACAGCGTTACTGGTCGAATGAAATTTTGCGCTGTTAATAACATAGTACGTGGTACAGTACGCGACCAGCAGTCCGTATAATGTAATTTTCAGCCAGGTATTATGCCAGACTCGAATGTATCTTCCCACGTACATTTTCAAATGCAATTAACTTTTTAACCCAGGGATTATTGAAACTTCTTTTTTCGCGAATCGCGTTCCTCGTTCGTTATTAATTTAGCCATTTATATTAGACGGTTGTCTTCCACTGGTAATCTTCTGTCGTGAAACTTGTTTGTCAAGCTGGATATTAAGTCAGCGGGTTTAATGGATGTCGCGTTCGATCGTTTCAACTTTTACCTTTACGTAGACAAGTGGTAAATTTAACGTCTGCCATCTGATATTTCTGATCAAACCTTTTGTATCCTTCGAGGTCTCAAAATTAATTCAAAGTTCTATGAAAATCTTTTTTATATCGTCTGCCAGCAATTTATTTACGATTATTATCACTTCAAATAAAATGATATAGCATTGGAAATAATCATTCAAATGGTATTTTGGTAACACGAAATTTTGTTGACTAAATTTTTCTAACATGTGATATCGTTTCAATTTAGAGCAATCAACGTGTACTGCGGGTTTGCTAGAACAAGTATAACCTACAGGATGCATAGTTTCAATCTCTGGCAAAATAATATCTTCTGCCATTTTTTAAACTTTTTTAAGAAGCAATAAGAAGTCCAGTTGATGTCAATTGACTCGGGACTGCCTTCAGAAATGTTTTCTTCTGAAATTCTTTCCTCGTTGTTATAGCTAATAGTCTAGCTATTACAGCTAATAGTTATTACAGTCACTCTAGGCGTTTGTTTAGATATTATACTATTATACATCGCATCATACAATACCAAATACGTTCGTTACGATTATAAGGCCGCCATGTTACTTTATTTTAATGATTTAACATTTAATTATAAAAGTATTTTTTATATTAGTAAAAAAGGTCTAATCCTAGTCTAATATTTAATTTTCATATATTTCATACATTATATAAATAATGTAAATTTCACCTATAATTATTAATTTTTATATAAAATTATTTTATCTTAATAAAGTTTATTAATTATTAACTCATAATACAAGTTTAATCGCTATTGCTGGCTCTTTAATTTATAATTATTAATTTTAATTCCCTTATTTAATTTTCATTAATTAATAATAAAGAATGTTTTATTAATTTTATTTTACTAATAAATTTAATATTTAATTTCAATAAATTATATATAAAATATTAATTTAATTAATAACCCAACCATAATTATATTTTTATATTTATATAAAAATTAAATAAAATTTTATATAATTTATATAAAATAAATTTAGAATATTAAAATATATAAAAATTAAATATTAAATTTATTAGTAAAGTAAAATTAATAAAAATTATTCATTATTTATTAATTTATGAAAATTAAATAATTATAAATTAATATAGATAAAATTTAAATTATTTATACAATATAAATTTATATATTAAATATATGAAAATTTAAATATTATATTATAGTTAATGAGGGATTGGTATATATGATACTAATTTAATATAAAATATTTTATAATTAAATATTGATCATTAAAATAAGTAATATAGCAAATCATAAAATTACTGACTAAATTTAAGTATGACGTTCCCTGAGAAGGGACAGTCGAGTCCAAAGGATTAATCCGCGAAAATTTCAACACGCCAGGCAGCTTTTTCTCGAAGATTCCTCCGAAGTTGATCGCGGCGTGGTATTCATCGAGGGAACTGGTCGGAGGAGAGTACCACGTCGACCAGAGGAAGGTGGGCACGACACCCACGTGCATCGACCAGACCACGTACATACAGGATATTCCAGCGTGGTCGCAAGCGGGAAAGGGCTCCATTCGCGCGACCCACGCGCCTCTGTAACCCGTCTGA